TGAAGATGATATTTCCAAAAATCTGTTGTTCCTATAAGTGTGTGCTATAATAAGTGGGACCGAGATAAATAATCATACTAGTTACAGCGCTACTGTGAACAAGAATTACTAATAAAGCAATATTACTAGAGAGAAACATAGCAAATATTAGAGTCTGAAGGCAAATGTTTTTTAAATGTCATGTTACAATGACAGGGTGAGTAGAAAATGGTCAACCAATGATTACTACATCTCATACACTATCCATCAGTCTTTCATAAAGGTACAGTAAAATGGCTCCCATCTAGCAGTGTTAACCTTCCTGCCTGGGAAAGAGGCTTATATATATATATATATATACTCCTCCATACTAGAATAGACATGTTATATATTCATTCAGTTTAAGCTTATTAAATGAGTAAAACTTTCCAAAAACTGATAGATAAACTTATGATGTTATGGATTAATTTCCTTCATTCATACAACTTCTATTTCCTATTAAGTAGTAGATTCCCAGCTGGTCTCCATGGAACGATAAGGCTTCAGGGGGAAATGTCTGAGTCTTCCTGAGATGATGGATGAGGACATACAGATAGGCTATCACATGGTGTCTTTCCTCTCTAACCAGACAAGAAGCTCTGCTTTGCTCTACTTTCAACTCATAAAATCACCACAGATAAGGCATTATGAAAATCACTAGGCTATAAAGTATTCTTTCTGTAAAGATCTGTAGCCACTGAAATTCTGAAGGAAGGCAGAATGTTCTGCTCTTCAATTTTGGGGTCCTTGAGAAGGGCCTGGCCTTAAACAGTTCCACCACTCATGTATTAAAAATAACTTGGAAAACATGATAAAACTTGATCATCATGTTTCTTGATTGAAAAATAACTTGGGTACCATGATAAAATGTAAATTTTTAACTTTAGAAAAATGGTGGCTCTTCTGAAACATACCAATCTGTTTCTCTCTGTTTGGAAAATGACAATAAAATATACTTGCTGAAGAGTTCCTTACTGATGAGTAAAAAGGGAGAAGGGAGAAGGCATCATAGCCACAATTATCTCTTCTTTGATTCTTTGTATGGTAGAATTAAATGTAATTTTTAAAAATTTGCCTCAATCTTTCATTATTAACTGTTATTCCAAACCACAGTAACTGCACTGAGCAGGCAGATAATTAATTCCATTAATAATCAAAACAGGTCTTGTAGGAATTCATTTGTACTCAAACACAGATTTGAATTATTAATGTTTTTTTGCATCCACTATATATTGAGAAATAAAACATATGAAATTCACAATATTATCTGGCCTATAGTGTCTTTTGGGCAAAAGTTTAATATACAGTTAATTTATATTTTTATCTTGAATGATTTTTACTATGGGTTTCAAAGAAGGATAGTTTTTAATGACAACATAAATATCCCCTGGAGTCATATTTTCCCTGTGTAAGCAGCTTTTAATAATCATTAGTTCCCAAGTTCTCATGCTGAAAGCTTTCCTCCTGGGTTGCTATAAAGCTTGTTTTCAAAAGAGGGTAATATTAATATGTTACAAGGCTTCATATCTAGGCAACGAAATAAATTTTATTCATCAAAAACAGAAAAGATAAATTCCTATCTAGTTTTTATCACACATATTTCAATTTTTTTTTAGTTCACACAAATATGATAGTATCAATGATTGAATGACCACAAAGTGTGCACTAAATAATGCACAGAGTTGTTCTGATTCAGATTTCTTTGATTAAAAATGTTCCAAAAATTAAAGAAACATGATGACTTCTCTAACTAGGCTCTAGCCTTATCAATAAATATATCCTTGATATATATAAGTATGCATTTCATATATCCAAAATACGGGCTTATAAGAGGATGGGTGTTTTCTTATAGATAAGGGCACAACTGGGA